ATGCCTGAGGCCCTGGGTTCGATTCCCAGCACCACATAAGCAAAAAGAAAAAAGCCGGAAGTGGCGCTGTGGCTCAAGTGGTAGAGCGCTAGCCTCGAGCTGAAGAGCTGAGGGACAGCATCCAGGCCCAGAGTTCAGACCCCATGACTGGACCCAAAAAAAAATAAAATAAAATAAAATCCTAGAGCCGGGTGCTACTCAAGAGGCTGAGATCTGAGGATCCCAGTTCAAAGCTAGCCTGGGCAGGAGAGTCCATGATACACCGATCTCCAATAAACTACTCAGAATAAGCTGTACCAAGAGGTACAGCACTAGCTTTGAGCAAAAAAAAAGCTCAGGGAGAGCACCCAGGCCCTGAGTTCAAGCCCCATGACTGACAAAAAATAAAATGAAATAAAATCCTGAGTCAGGCACAGTGCCTGAGATTGGGGGGGGCAGTTTGAGGTTGGGGTTCAAGGACAACCCCCTACAAAATACAGTTCACAAGATTCCACCCTGATGGCTAGGCACAGTGGCGTGTCATTCCAACCACACCAAGAAATACAACTAGGAGGACTGAAGTACAGGCAAACCAGAGGCTATGTGATGATGGTCTTCTGGAAAGTGCTTCCTTGAACCCCACAACACCCCTTCAGGAGATGCTTACTGTGTCCACATCACAACTGGCCTTTGAGAGGCACTGAATGGTCATTGCTGGAGGTCAGTGTCGATTCCAGGGAGGGTAAGGACACGATCATCCCTTCTTCACATATTCACTCACAGAACATACAGTCCAGAGTATTACAAAAAACAACAACAACAACAACCCTAATCCACAGAGCTTCTGAGAGGTATGGAGGAAGTGTGCCTCCCTCCCAAGCCCTCCAAAGTGAGGGGTGTGGCCCGGGCTCGGTGAGTGGACGGTGGTACCCTGGCATTTACCTTGACCTGACTCTGGATGAGGAAATGGAAGGTCTCATTCCACACGGGGTGACTGGAGTTGGTGACTGTTTTAGTCTTGAACTTCATCCCAGGAGCAGTTGGCAGCTGCAAGGTCACATATGGGTCTGCCTCACTCACTGCCAGGGTCAAAGGAAGCATCAGGAGAGAGAATCGCTCAGATCTTTGCCCAGGGGCCTCACTAGCTTTCTATCAAGACCCCAGTGGCCATTGTGAGCAGCACAGCACAGCCCCAAGGCACGGCCTCCCCCATCATCCCTGGGTACCATCATCCCTGGGTCTCATCATTCCTGGGTCTCTTCATTCCTGGGTCCTGTCATCCCTGGGTCTCATCATTCCTGGGTCTTGTCATTCCTGGATCTGTCATCTCTGGGTCCCCTCATCTCTGGGTCCTCTCATCTCTGGGTCTCATTCCTGGGTCCTGTCATCCCTGGGTCTGTCATCCCCAGGTCCATCATTCCTGAGTTCCATCATTCCTGGGTCCCATCATCCCTGGGTCCCGTCACCCCCAGGTCCATCATCTCTGGGTCCATCATCTCTGGATCTCATCATTCCTGGAGCCTGTCATTCCCTGGGTCTCATCATCCCTGGGTCTCATCATTCCTGGGTCCTGTCATCCCTGGGTCTCATCATCCCCTGGGTCCATCATCCCTGGATCCTGTCATCCCAGAGTCAATCATCCCTGGGTCCTGTCATTCCCGGGTCCCCTCATCTCTGGACCCTCTGGAGATCAGGACACAGTCACTCACACAGATCAGTCGTGCGCAGCCTCCGTGCCTCCAGGACCCTCACGGTGAGCTGGTAGCAGGCACCAGCTTCCTCCTGGAAAGACACATCAAATTGAGCCCCCCGCATTCTCTCACCCAAACCTAGAGTGGGGGTTGTAGATACAACCCCTTTCCCCACCTCGTGAGCCCCAGTAATGCAGCCAGGCCTTCTGGGGACCAAAATGGCCTCTATCTACCACTGTCCTTGGGGTCACGGCTCTGGGTCACAACCATCAGGAGATGACAGACCACCTGGGGGTAGAGTCTGTGGAGCTCCTCCACTCTGGGGGCAGAATTTGAAACATCATGGCCAAAGCAAGGAACTGGGAGCCGAGCAGTGGCCACCTTGCTGATCACTTTGGGATCAGTCATGTCCAGAGCTCCCAGGAAGGATGGTCCCTCGGGGATGGGTGTGGCCAGCCTCCCCTCAACTCACTCTCCACTTTGCTCAAGGGAAGTTGAGGCAGGGGAAGCCCAGGGGCCTGTAGGACATCCATAGCTACTAAAAGCAGGGCTTGGCCCATCCGTGATCTTGGTTGTAAAGCTGGCGATGGCAAGAGCCTCGGGCGGGCACAGTGAGCAGTAGGTGATGGCTGTTGTGTGTTAAGATGCTCACGGGGTTATGTAACCCACACAGACGTTTCCAAGCCCCCTGCTGTGATTTGAGGGGGGGGGACTCAAGTGGCCTGGCAGGACCTCGGGCTGACCCCAATGGAAGTCATTGGCTTTGCATCCTCTTGACAGGGTACCCACACTTGGTGGGGGGGACCCTCAGAATGGGGTTGTCAGGCTAGGACATCACCTAGACAGGGAATGTGTAGTGGCAGTCCTCACCCCAGCTGGGAGGGGACTCTGCTAAGGTCCCAGGCAGCAGGGCCCTGAGGGGCACCATCCACAGGCTGCTGTGGATGTGACAGCTCTGGGGAAGGAAACGCAAGGTTCCTAGGCCAGGAAATGAAAACAAAAACCAAACACAGTGACTGGTCTCTTCTAGGAAGTAGAGGAAGACTCTGGCACTAGGTGGCCTGCATGTCAACCCCCAGTGCTGTGATTTACATGCGGCGTGACCCTGGATAGGTCACTAAACACCTCCATTTCATCATCTGCAGTGGAAGAGGAACAGCCTTGAGTTAACAAGGGTGATCGAAGGCAGAACTGTGAGCCGTGTCACAGATACAACACACACCCAGACAAGTTTTGAGCAGGCTTGTGGAGCTCAGTGGTGGAGCTCTTGCTTGGTTATGTCCGTGGCCCTGAGTTTGATCCCCAGCTCGGCCAAAACAAAACAGCAACAAAAGTGTTCTCTAGGCGGTTGTTCTCATGGCTATTTAAATACTTGTAGTGTGTCTAGCTGTCGTACTAAGTATTATTGCAGTCTCCCTTTCTTTTTCTTCCCCAAATCTCATAATTATATGGTACTTGAATATTCTTCAATAAAGGAATGGAGGTTTACAAAGGCTAAGTTCCCAACTCATCGAAGACCAAGTTCAGGTTCAAACTTCAAGACCAGAGCTTTCAACTCCCATGTCAGTCTACTTTCCTAACTGGGTGGAGATCCTGTCCCTCCCTGAGCCACACAGAGGTGGAACAAGTCCCAAATGCTCAGCCTGCCCTGCCAGCCCAGCTCCTGCCCCTCCGGTGAGCTCCAGCCTCTGATCCAGCAGGAAAGATGCCAGCAAAGCTGCTGCTGCTGCTGGTGCCACAGGAGCTAACTTGGAGGCTGGGGTGAAAGATCTGGTCTGTGGGATCCAGTCCTAGGTACTTCCCAGATAAGGGGCCTACTCATGCTCCCCCAAACCCTGAGCCTAGGGCATTTGTTTTATCCCACGGGGATGGACCCAGAGTAGGCAAAGAGATGATGGAAAGGGTGTGCAGCCATCATTTTGGGGTGTTCTAGAAAACTACACTTGGCTGTTCTAAGACATAAGACTGAAGCCTCAAGTCCCAGTGATGGCTGACTGGAGGATGGGGAGGGTCCTCCTCGCTTTGTTTTGCAAAGAGAAGGTCCCTGTGTGTCTCCCCAAGGATCCCTTGGTGTCCAGCCTGTTCTGAAGCACGTCATTTCTACAAGCTCAGGTCTAGAGCTGCTTCTCTGGGTACAGCTCAGGCCAAGAGGAGAAGAGGCAAATAAGACAAAGCCCCCATTTTGTGGGCGCTCTCTGGGGGCCCTAGGGGGGATCTGAGGAGTCAGTTCTATCCACCTTGGCCTCCAGTAAAGGATGAGAAATCTGGGCTGGGGGAAAGCCCGCGGCAAGGGTAAGGACAGTGGGTTTCTGCCGGCCTCCCTGGCCTGATATGACCTCAGAGCTCTGGGGCCCAGTATTGGAAATGGGTGAGGACTGGGGCTCCCTGGGAGTCTGAGACACACAGATTGACACCCCCAGGACTTCATCCAGTCCCAGGAAGTCCAGGCCTATGGCGGTGAGCTCCAGGCCTGCTGGGTCTCCCCTGTGCCATACAGACACTGTCCTCTGACATGGAACGGGAGCCTTTGTGGGGAGCTGGTAGGAGTCCTGAGGTGCTGCTGCCTGGCTACTCAGGATGAAGAGGGGTGGCTCTGATGACCCCACTCATTATCCTGGGCCCCATGGCTCCCCCACCCCAAAGCACAGCCCACCTACCCCCGCCTCATCCCACCCAGAGACCAGAATCACCCTGATTTCATTTGTGCCAGGCTCCTCAGATGCCCCCTGGCCCCAGGTCCTTGCCTAGACTGGTGCCCTGGGCAGGGCAGACACTCTTACCTGGTGACAATGGCCAGGGGGTCCCTCAGATGACAGGCTCTCCATACCAGCCCTTCCAGCTCCGCTCCAGGCCCAGTTCCCTCGCTGGCTGATGGCTGGTGATCCTCCCAGCAGGATGGGACCAGCTGTGAACCTGCCAGCCTTGGAAGTGTCACAGGCCTATAAACAGGCCGGGACTCCACCCAGCTCACTGTCATCCAGCACCTTTTCCTCTTCCCCTAAGAGACTGGCTTAACTGGGTGTGGTGGTGCCTGTACTGGAGAGGCTGAGGCAGGAGAATCATGAGTTCAAGACAAGTCTTGGGCTACATGATAAGAGTAGTTGGAAGAGGGTGGAGGAGGAAGAGAAGGAGGAAGTGGAGGAAAGAGAAGGAGGAAGAAGATGAGAAGGAAGAAGAGGAAGAGGAGGAGGAAAAGGAGGAGGAGGAAAAAGAAGGAGGAGGAGAAGGAAGAAGAGGAAGAAGAAGAAGAAAAGAAGAAGAAGAAGAAGAAGAAGAAGAAGAAG